TGAGAACCTCCATTAAAAATTCTAAAGTAATAGAAAAAAGGCTGAATTTAGATTGTTAAGGCTGGGGCAGGGGGACCTGGGCATGGTGCTGCACACATGTAACCCCAGCAGCCTCTGTGGCTGAAGCAGGAAGATCACAAAGCCAAGCCCAGCCTGGATAACTTAGCAAGATTGTCTCAAAACAGATATAAACAAAGGGCTGGGGATGTAGCTCAGTGTGAGAGCCCCCATTGCGCCACACACACACACAAACACATGCGCGCACACACACACACACAGGAGTAGAAGATCGTTCTTTCTCAAAATCTGTCACAACAATTACACATCACATCTTTATGAAGTGCAGAAACTGGCATCCATAAGCTAGGGTTACATCTTCCTTCCAAGCCGTCCTTGATGTGTTAGAAGGGGCTGTGAGTTAAGGGGCAGCGCAGAGCAATTAGTCATAACAATACACATTAATGCACCCTGTCACCAGTACAACCAAAGGAGTTCACAGAGGGTCAGAGCACCCCATGCCACAGCTGGAGCTGGGTGATACGTAAACCCTAAGCCAGGCCTGTGTCTCCGCTTCCTTCAGGCTCAAGTCTGGAGTAGCTACACAGCCTAGGTCACGGAAGTGCTAAAGCAAAGACAAAGTTGTAAAAATTAATTTTCCACATTTCAAAGTATACAAATGTAACTATTATAAGTAATTCTAAAATGTAAAATCCTATATTCTATAAAACAGCTTTCCATAAAGTAGAAAACACAGATGTTTCTGTTTGTCACCTAAGTTTCCATTGCCCCATAGTTCTCACCAAGCCCCCAACAAAGCACAGTCACCCTGGACCCCTGCTTCCCATCCATGGGACTCTTCACTGCAGAGTTTTCTGTCCAGCAGAAATGCTTGTGGAGCTCATCAGAGCTCATTTTCATTTCTGTATAGTACAATTTATTATTAGCGAGTTTCAGGAAAAGAGGTAAAGACTTCAGAAACTTTGAAATTCTATAACTTCAAATCATAGTTCTGCATGCTGCTGCTAAGAGAATTGAGTCTTAGAAAGATGGAGAGTCTAGTCTCAGAGGCCATCTGAGTTTATAGGTGATTTAGATATGATTGGACCTGTCCTAATACAATCTCAACTTTATTTGAAAACATTGTGCCTCAATCCAGTCTTCTCTGTCTGTTGATTTTTTTTGTTTGTTTTTTTCTTTTTTATCGGTACCAGGATCGAACTCACGACTCCCTGCTTGCAAGGCAGGCACTTATGCCGCTAAGCTAAATCCCCAGCCCCTGTCTGTTGATTTTCAAACTACTGTATCCCAAAGACGTTTGACTACAAGCCCTGTAATAATCATGTATTGCCACCTGTAGACATAAAAGTAGAATTGAAAATATTTTAATTTCGATTTCAGACCATATTCTGTTTCATGTGGTGGGTGGAGTGCTTCCTGTAGATGCATGTGTGAGTGTGCTAAGTATGATATTGGCAGAGGGAAAAGCATTTGCTCACTAGTTTTTCCTGTGTGTGTATCTGAATTATAAGGACAGTAAAAACTAACTTCCCCTATGTCTTTAGAGAAGTCAGTTTCCTTAAGTTTAGAGAGATTTTGACAACAGAATTGTTAATGGCTCCTTCCTATACTGATATAACAGGATACTAGAAATTCTTGAGGGTTTTTTTTGCAAAGTATACATAACACAAAATTTACTATTTAACCATTTTAATGTATACAATTAAGTATCAGTACATAAAAATGTTGTATAACCATCACCATTAATTAGTTCACCCCATTACTTAATTCATTAACCCAAAAAGAGACCATCCCCATTAAGTAGACATTCATTCCTCTATCCCCACCTGCCAGCAGCCACTTATCTACTTTCTGTCCCTAAAGATTTTCCAGTTTTGCAAATTTCACATAAGGGAAGTCCTACAATATGTGACCCTTTTGTCTGGTTTACTTCTTTTAATCTCAATTTTTAAAGGTTAATCCATGTTGTCGCATGTACTGGAAATTCATTTCTTATTATGGAAGAATAATATTCCATTGTGAACTATACCACAGCTCATTTCCCCACTCATTTGTGTGTTTCTACTTTGCCTAAGAAAATAATGCTGTCATGAACATTCAGGTGCATCATTTTCATTGCTGATATGTGCAAACCAAGGAGTAGAATTACTAAGTCATATCAATAGCTATTTTTAGCTTTTTGAGGCACCAAAAAATACTCTCTCACAACTGCTGCATGGTTTTGCATTTTTACCAGCAATGTTTAAATAATGCAATTTCTGTGTATCTTCATCAACTGCTGCTATTTCCAAAGTTCTTAAATTTCTCATGACCATACAGTTGAATACAATGTGCTACCTCATTATGGTTTTGATTTGTATTTCTCTAATGACTAATGGTACTGAGAAAATGTTCATATGCTTCTTTGGCCATTTCAAAATCTTGGATTTTTTCCTCAAATATTACCTTTATTTCCTTTATTAAGTTTTTGCTGCATAATTTTTACATTCATGTAGCACATGCACAGAGCACATCCTCATTCTTTCTCATGCCCTGCCCCCCCCCGTTTGTCCCCTCCCTATGCTGACTGAGCTCCTTCCCCTTTGAGAAAGGTTCATCTGTTTCCTGTTATCTACCTTTTATTCTGCACCTTATTTATAATTTGGGTTACTCGTATATGGAAAACAATGTGAAACTTAAGCTTCTATGTCTGATTTTTTAGCACTATGGTTTAAAAGGTACATCCATTTTCCTGCAAATGACCCAAATTCATCCCATTTTAAAATTGGGAATTATATAAAAGTTTTTATATCTACAGATAATATAGATATTGCATATATATTGTATCCACTTATCTGACTATATATTTTTATGTTGCTTGCAATCTCCGGTGTATTTTTTATCTCCCCCTTATGCTGTGCTTTCCACTCCTGAGTCTCATGTACATCAGACTTAGTGATTGTCTTGTATGCTGGGAAACACTGGGCTGCATTTCTGTCCAGCCTTGCACTCCTACGAACCTAAGAGCCTCTGACCAGATATTAATGCAACTGATCAAAGAGCTGGACTTTCTAGTTTGCCATGCTAGGATTGGGGCATCTGATTCTGCACAATATTGATGCAATTCTTCCTTGAGAATTGACTGAGTTTCTAATGTGGAAATAGATTTAAGACTGGATGAGATGCTGAATGAAAAAACTTAGTACTATCAACTCACTTTTCCTTAAATGAATGGACTTTCCAAAATAGCTTTTAATTTTCCAGACTATACAGAAAATCCCAAATAATTTAATTTCATAATTAATTTACTAGTGGGATATGTCATAGAAAAACATGCAATCAAACTCTGCCTTAATCTTTTTCTAGAGTTGAGCATGTAGTCAATAGCAGAGCACTTGTTTTTGCTTGTGCAAGACCTGGGTTCAGTTCCGAGCACCAAAACATTAATCACAACAAAGCAAAACAAAATCACATGTCCAAATAAGGCAACTATAAATAAAAAGAATAATTATGAAAATGCAAAACATCATTTTATTGTCTGATCTACAAATTTGACTTCTAAACAGTGATTCATCTTTGAAATTTATATGCTTGTATTTTTGTCCAACAAGAATTCTTGAACTTATACTTTGTTCAAAATCAGAGTCTCTCCACTGTTAGATGACTGCATTGCTTACCCCTGCAGGAGGCTAGTGGCCTTGCTTGATGTCTGTTTTTCAAGACATATTTTCTACTTGTGACTCAGGGTCAAATATGTTTGTTTTACACTGGTTAAATAAGGCGAAAGACAGCCTACAAGAAATATCATGACAAGAATAAGAACGATTTCCATGTACCCACATAAAAGCTCCCAAATACTAAACAAATAAGGTAAATTCAGAATAATCCATACATCCTGCTAACATTTATGTAAGAACAGATTCAAATATGCCTGTGAATGCATAAAAACCCTGGAAGGATCAATAAGAAACTACTGTCCATGGCCCCAGAGTCTGAGAAGGGGACGTGACAATTGCTTTCCACCTTCACTTTTCATTAAGAGAATTCCAAGAGACATGAACCCAAAGGATTTTCAGACTAAAATCAAGCACAGGGAGAATATGAAACTATCACAGGTGAGCAGTATAGCACTGCTACACAGTCCCACATGAGAAATTGTCCTTGTGAGCCCTGCTCACTGGCTTTTTTCTCTCTCGGAACTTTGGGCTGCACACCAAAGATACGACTGCACTCATGGGTCCTGCACAGCTCAGCAGGCATAGGTAAGCCTTGGGGCTCCCCAGCCTCCACAAGATGAACACCTCCCAACCGAGGAGACCTTTGTCATCCCAGAGGAGCATCTGTCCTCTTCTCCCAAAGAAGACAACATTCTGGCTTAAATAGTTGAGTTTTCTAAATGGCCAAAATAATTTGGGGTGCAGCGTCTTATCTCTGCTTTGCACTTTGTGTCTGCGAGGCCATCTGTTGCTGTCGCTGTACTTTGCTATTTGAAATGCTGAGTGGCAATACCTTGTTTCATCACTGCCATGCTATGCTATTTCAGGTGTGTTCTGCTGGCTGTGATGAACAGTGCAGTGGGAACATTCAGGGCCTTTGTTTCTGCTGCACACACACAACAGTGTGCTCCGGGATCACCACCTGTGTGTGTTCAACACGGTGGGTGCTGTGCATCCCAAAGGTTTCTGAAAGCACAAAATACATCTCTGTGCAGCTCTGTGTGTATCTCTTGCCATCACACCTGACAGCAAATAACCACTGGTTGGCTGTCAAACCTTGTTTCCAGGGAACGCCTGTCTATTTTTAGGCAGAAAGAGGAGACTATCCAGTACCTTCTGCCCACAGCCTTACTCAGTAGAGCACATAAATATGCTCATTCCTGATTAGTGTTCTCAAAAACCTATAAAGCTCCCATTTTTTCCCTTCGCTGCCCCATTCCACCTCACTGTTTCTCAGAGCTGCTTTCCTGCACAGAACGGCAGGGTGGTCCGAGGGGATTGTAAAACATGAGGGGCATCTTTCTTTTTGCAGTTTGCTTCTGTTTGGTCCAAAGGAACACAGGTAAATGTTTCCTGGGCAACCCTGGTGATGGAACTGGGTGCAGGAAAAGCACGGGTGTGTGGAGTTATATGTGAGCAGTGGGGTGGCCCTGTGTCGGTGGGGCTGCAGGTGGAGTCTTCTGGGGCTCAGTCTTGGACCACTTTGTTCTCTCTTTTAGGAAATATAATTTAACACTCAAATAAGGTTTATAACATGAGACAAAATAATCTCTTTACTCTGATATGGAAAGTATTCCTTGCAGTCTTAGAGATATTTTGAGCAAATTGTGATTGTACAAGTGTCAGAGATGGAAGGGAACCAAAGATCCTCCACTGCAGACCCAAGGGTCATAGACAGAAAGCCAAGATGCAGAAGAAGAGTTAACTTACTGTGGCACAGTGAATAATGACAGTAACAGATGATCTCATATAGAGTAATTTCCTCAAGTTTTTGAGATAGCCTTTGGGAAAATAAAGCAGTGGCCTTTAAATGAATTGTTCAAGGAGAGATGATAAGTTATTGGGATAAAATTAAAGTCCAGATCCCCAAATCCCTTAGATGTTGGCTGCTCTATCAAAGGTGGAACCCTCATCTTCACTCCTGTCCCTCCCAGCCGCTACAGGCTAAAGTGATACAGGGCCACATAGTAGCCTCCTGTGGATATTGAAGTGGATATTATGAGGACTATTTTCATAATCAAGCAAGACCAAGCAAGGTTGTGGTAGTGGAGAGAAAATATAAGGCCTGCACACGAAGCTATATTCCCACTGTCTTTTTATTGTTCTGAGACAGGGTCTCACTATGTTCCCCAGACTAGGCTCAAACTTGCAATGCTCTTGCCATAGCCTTCTAGTGTGCTAGGATCACAGGAATTAGCTATCACCCTGGCAGTTGTTTTTAATAATGGTGATAGTTAGCATTTGTAGACATAAGAAAGCTCCTTCTCACAACTATTTCCTTCCCAAAGTGCCTTCCTTACAAGAAGTGAGGTGCTTATACTTGACTTTATTGTGGAAATAAAACTACAGATCAAAGTACAACTGGACAAGCCTGGTTGAAGAGCCTTTTTGTAGGGCCTTCTGCAAGCCAGATGACCTTCACACAACATGCTATATAATCCCCCTGGCTGTTTGATACTTCGGGCAACACTATCAGCTACAAATTGTTGCTCCTGCTTTAAGACTAAGAAACCAAAGCTTAGAATTTGGGTCTTGTTCAAAGACAGGGACTTTTATAAGAATATGGCAAGCCACTGGCATCAGTCTGGGGTTGTCCTTTACTATCTGCACAGTAAGAACTCAATATGTGCTCTGTTCTGTTGAATCCACAGGGGATATTCCACCGGGAATTAAAAACACAATCTGCCTCATTCAACATGGGAATTGTAGACTTTTTTTCTGCCATGCTGGTGAGAAAAAAAGTAACATGTGTTCTGATCCTTGGAATAAATGCTGCGTACCAAATATTGAAGAAAGAGAGATACCAACAGAGGATAGCAAATAATGAATCTAAACTTCAGGCTCCTGAATCATAGAGATCTTGAAGCATCCCAGAGGCTCAAAAGAATCATGGTTGGTACCAGATGTACAATAAACAACTGTTCAGTAAATCTACCACCAAAGGAGAAAGTCTGATGAAAGAATTTTCTTGAGAGCTTCTTTACCTTAAAAAAATTAATTTCAGATTTTGCAATATTACAGCTTCTCTGTCTACCTCTTCTTTCCTTATTCCAGGCAATACTTTCTTACCTAACCAGAGGTGTGGGTAGAATAGAAACCAAGCTCCAAGTCATCTTTGGAGAGACAGAAACACAGCCAGTCTACTGTTGTTGTTCTCACCCAACATTAATTTCCTCTGACTTACTCACCTTAGTTCTATCACAGCCCTCAAGTAATAATACCAATTCTATTGAAATAGGATTTTGTTGCTTTCAAACATTCACTTTTATGTTATCTAAACCAGCTGCTGCAACAATTTTATGAGTATGAAACAAGGCAAAAGTACTTCATTTTAGGGATCGAAGGAAAAAGAATATTATAAGGCTAAGCTAACTGCCCCCAAGTCACCCAGTTCTTGATTTGTTAATCAATCAGGTCTGCTTTTACATTTCTTCTAAAGTCCAGATTTTTGAAGAGTTAGATCAAGAAGGGGTTTGTCCATGAAGACTCTGGAACACTCACCTGGTCTTTGCTGTTTGTTTTCCTGATTCCTGCTCAGATTTGTTGTGTACACCCTGCCTTTCCTCTAGACATCTCAAGAGCAGTGAATGTTAATTACTATTAAAGAATATGAAGAAAATTAATACAAATGTGCTAACATATAACAGACCATGTGCCAAGACATCTCTAGATTAAGAAACAGCTTTATAAGATGTCCCATCTCAATATTTCTGTTCACTGCCTCAATTATTTGTTTGTGAGTCAGCTGAACCTACTCTAAAAATCGCCTAGAGAAAATATAATTTTGGTATTCCCTCCTCCAGTTGCAGTGATTATTTGGCATAAGACTGTGGGCCTCTACCCAGTCTCTTCTAAACCCACTCCTGGTTATGTTCTGAGTGTGGTACAAGACAGACACCTGGGCTTGTGCAGCGTGCAATTTCCTGTGGGAACACATGGCTCCACCAAGCCCTCTCTTTTGTTCTCAGTGAATGTAGGTATTACTTGTTCCCTGCCCAAGGCCATGGCTGCAGATTAGATTCTGTTCCCAAGACATAGACAGAAGCCCCTGGTCTGGGCCTTCTGTTGCTCAAAGTAAAGAGCAGGGGCAGGGCTCAGATCTCAGTCTAGGTGCGGTCATACCATCTGTGGTCCTGGGGGGAATTTCCATGAAGCAAAGTGAAGAGGCCCCATCCCACCTGGTAAGGGCCTGGAAAGGAAGTGCAGAGTCCAAGTCCAGCCCCAGGGCTGTTAATGGCCACTCAGGCTCTTCTAGTTGCCACCAACCAAATCAAAGGAGGGCATGTATGTGGGTAAAAAGGAGGAAGAATGTATTCGAAGCCAGCTCAGAGAACAACGAGGGCCTATTTGCCTCAAATCACCATCTCCCTTGCAAAAGGGCAAGGGTGGTTTTTAGAAAGGAACAGAGGGAAGACAGGCACAAAGAGACAGCTGGGTTTTAGCACTTCCGGCTGTATTACTTCTGGATCATCGTCACTTCCTGCTCTATTACTTCCGGTTCCGTCACTTCCGGCTTCCCAGCGCCCCCCGCCCCCCAGTCTTCTGGAAAGGAGGGCTCCTTTAGCCCTGTGGCCTGCACCCAATGTCCTGTGGCTTCCCTGAGGCTAGAAGGAGAGGGTGGTGTTTAGCGCTCACAGAAGGAGGTTGGGAGAAGCCGTTCCTCTCTAAAAGGAAAATCCCTGGCCCTTCAGGTTCCACTCTGCGGTGCCCGCGGGTCCACGCTGCTGGGCCAGGCCGGGGCGCTCCCGTGCTCCCGGGTGCGTGCGCGGATCCCGGGTAGAAAGTGGGGGCGCTGAGGCCCGAGCGCGGGCGCGTCCACGGAGCTTTTCCCGCGGCCAGCGGTGCGGCCCGGCCAGGGCGCGCGCGCGCGGGGTTCTCTGCGGCCGGACTCCGCCGCCATTCCGCCCGAGGAGGTGCGTCCGCCAAACTTGCGGGTGAGTCCTACGGCCCTGGCCCCTCTCCAGATATATGAGGGAGCCCCCAGCTGCTGCTCCCCGACCTTGGCCCGAAAGGACCTGTGGTGCTCTGCTCAGCGAACCCCTAAGGCCCAAGCGAGGCCCAGCGGCAGCGCGTGGACCTCGGAGGCACCGCCAGGTGGCGCACGCGGGCGGAATTTCACTTCCTGGACGCCCGCGGCGAACTCCTTCCGCATCCCGGCTCTTCCCAGATCCCTGCGTCCCTACCCTCTCCCTGCGCTTGAGGGTGTCTCTCAGGACCTAACCGCCTCGGCTGCGTTGCTTGCTGGGGGCCCGGACGCAGCCAGCAGCAGCGCGCGGCTAGGTCTGCTTGGAGCCTGGGTGCAGTCCAGGTGGACTGGATTCTGAACCCATCGTGCCTGGATCCAGAACTTGGGAACACCTGGGGCTTTATTTAGTTTTCTTTTTTGGATGTATTGGGCAGTACTGGGGACTGAACCCTGGGTCTCAAACATGTTAGCAAGTGCTGTTCCACTGAGCGACATCGCCACTGCCTTTCCAATGCATAGTTCATTAATAGACACTACGTGAAGTTTGCATTCACCCTAATGAGTGGGTTGTGTACTTAATGTAGCTTGATTTTTTTTTTTTTAATCCTCTTCTCCCCTCATCTGCCTCCCTCCCTCGGTCTCCAGATCCTCTTTCTTTCTTTCTTGCTTGCTTATTTATTAGTTGTGTTCACAGCATGCTGTTTTCCCCTTGGTGGGTGTTTGGTCTGTGCACACCACACACCTTAAATCATTTCACGTCCCTTTACCCCCATCTCTTGAACGCCTTCCCGTTTTCAAATGCTCTTATCTCCCTGCTTATTTGTGTCTTTTGCTTTGTTCTTTATTTGAGCTTTGTGTGACCAGGCTCTGTTTTCAGCCCAGCTCCTCAATTTACCAACCCTTCCTTGCTCCAAGATACCCCTGTGGCTGGGAGGAAATTCACAGATAAGGGCAGGGACCCAGGTTGGTCTTGTGGTGACCCACTGTGCTGTCCTGAGAAACTGGTTTTTTAAAAGGTAGAAACTGATCTGGTAAGTTTTGTTTTAACTCATCATCTGAGGACAGTAAAAGCAAAGACGCAGTCTTAGGAACCACAGCATTGGAGTGACTGCATCCACTCCACACATACTAAGAACAAATGATGGTATCTGCCCCTGGCTGTTTCTTGTGAGTATGATTAGCCTCACTGCACCTCCAGGGAGCCTGCTTCCTCTGCTGAGGGACCCAGTCCCTGCTTGGCTGAATCAGTTGCTCTCTCAGAGCTGTGCCCCTGTGATAGGGCTTGTCCTTCTGCTGCCATTGCGTATATGCAGATTGGACTTTGAACCTCAGGGACAGGGTCTGCTTCTCATAAATAGTCATATTTACACTTTTCCTGGTGAACCAGAAAGTACAAATTACATGACAGAGTAAATGAACCAACCCAGGCCAGATCTAGTGCATAGCTGCCCTCCTTTGCAATCTGACTGTAGGAGTGGATGTCATCAGGGGACCTCAGAACTTAGTCCTTTGCTTGTCACCAGCAAAAGCCCAAATTCCTCTCTTTTTATTTTGTGATTTTCTGCCTCACCTTCCTCTTCCTGTCCATCTCCTTATCACCCAAGGGCTCTAGCCTCTCAAGTGCTTCTGGAAGGGAAGAGGAGAAAGAGATGAAGCCCTGCTTTCACAAAACAATCCTCAGAGAAAGTACAGCACTGTGGAAAGATTGGGGACTGGGAATCAAACGTCAGTTCTGAGCCCCAGGCAGCCTCTGATGCCTCCTTGAAGTCTGGGCACAAACTTGGTTAATTTGAGATGATAACACATGCATAGAAGCCTCTGCGAATGATAGGAGTATGAAGTGGACTGTGATGCATTTTGTTGTCTAATGTTTGACTCATGTTAATTCAAATAAGACCTCATAAAAGTGATTGGAGAGTGTTTTCAGTGATCTTGAATCTCTTGAATGAATACCGTGTCTAGAGTAATTCATTGATCAAATACACACGTATCCATACAAGTACACGTTTATTCATGGTGATTCACTGCAGTTGAGCCTGCATAGGTTTCTCACCACCCCTACCTGAACCGATCGATCCCTCATTCAGCCTCAGTGTCTCCAGACTCCAGGAACTCAGCTGCTTCTCCAGACAACGGTGGCCACAGCTTAGAATCCTCGGGGCTGGGGGTTTAGCTCAGCGGCATAAGCACCTGCCTTGCAAGCAGGTGGTCGTGAGTTCGATCCCTGGTACCGATAAAAAGGAAAAAGACAAAAAAAAAAAGTATGAAAAAAAAAAAAAAAAAGAATCCTCACATGTGGGCAAACAGTACAGAAGGGGCACGGACTGCCCCATCTCCTGTCTCAGGGTGGTTTGTTCCTACCTCATCCACATGAAGTACTCTGCAGGAGGTGTGCATGGTAACACTATGGGAAGCTTTCCAAGCCAAACTCTTATCTCCTCACCTTTTGGCCTGGGCAGGAGCAGACATATGTGGGGCATCTCCCACCTGGAGGTCATGTTGTCTCTTCAGGCTCTGCAGCAATAAGCAGGTAAGAAAATGAAAATGAGAAAGCCCTGGTAACAACCTCTTAGAGGACCGTAGGCCATCCATATACATTAGCTGTGATGCTGGACCAGCTCCAAATATTAAAATTCTTCCTATGAAATTGCGAAGTCATTCTCCTGTCAGAACCTCAGTGAAAATGGTCATTGATTTCTCAGCCATGGAGACGAATATCCCTGGATTTAGGAAGTTCAGCCATGGCCCTCAGCCACTCCTGAGCAAGCACTCACCACACTGGCAAGACTGACTCAGCCTCAAAGGTCCGGACAGTCCTGGAGCAGCTGGATCCCAGGTAGGCTGACTCCAGAGTGATGCTAAGTGTCTGTGTGAGGTCACCTGTGGTTATTGTGTGACTCTGCTGGAGGCTGTTACAGGAATTCACAGAGGAGTGACCTGCCCCATACACGGGCCAGTCAGGGCTTGGTGGACTCCACAGCTACCCACTGGACTGTCTGGAGGATCCGTAGACCATCATGGTAGCTGGGCCCAAGTGATACAGCACTCAGACATGGTCTGTCCAGCGTGTAGGCACAGAATTCTAGAGCAGACCTAGGAGAGCAGGCACACTTGTGGCACCCCCAACTTTGCCCCATGTTAGTCAGCTTATTATAGCTGTAGCAGCATACCTGAGAAGATAAATGTGTATTTTAACCCAGGCTTTGGGAAGTTTCAGTCCACTGTCAGATGACCCTGTTCTTTTGGGAAGGCCTCCATTGACCTCAGACCACCACCCACACATACACTCACACAGTGCTCCCTGGGATCTAAGCCTTGAATGCTTAGGCCTTGGAGGGACATTGAAGATGCAGAGTACAGTACTAGCTCAGAAGTGCAGACCAAACGCTTTGTCTGCCCTAGAGACTGTGCTCAAGACTCCCAGTGTTTACCTCACCTATATGGAGAGGCATGAATATGCTCATCACAGACATGAGACAGCCGAGGTTCAGAGATGCAAAGTCACTTCCCCAGAGGGACACAGCTTTTGAATGAGGAAGCTTCTTCCAATCTGCAGGGAGTCAGAAGAGACCCTGAGTGTGACAGTATACATACCCGAAACTTGCATATGATTGCATTGCAAGGCAATGGAAGACCAGCTGGGCTGCCAGGCTCACCCTCTTTCCCTTTTGCTACATTCTCTATCTCATAATATACAGACATTGGCACATAATGTGACTTCCAGCTCTCCCTGTCTTAGTAAGTGATTGTGTGACTCACGGTGGTCATAGCCATGTTAGTGACGGTGCTGCTCACCTTACACATGTGATCTTCAGCAAGGTGTGTATCACTACCTAGATTTCAGAGGTGAGGAAATGGACTGTTAATCCAGCTCAAGACAACATAGCTAATAAAGTAGCACATAAGGATTGAAATTCTTTTCCTCCTTTTGGTGGAAATACTTGAAAGGGCTTTGGGATTTCTAACAAGACTCAAGTATTCCTAGATTTCTAAAAAAAAAAGCTGTTGGACTTCTACTGCTTTGAGTCAGCCTAAGACCAAGAGATGAACTTTTGCCCTCTCTTGCAAGAGAGGAGGTGGACAGGCAGCTGACCAGATGGGGTGGGAGTCCACCCATAGCATTGCCTGGGTATTGGGAGCTGATGCTGAGTGATTTTAAGTTTAAATCGTTCCATATTCATATGAGCAGGCTCTCCTCTGTCATTTGAACTTTCAAGGAGAGGTTTGAAACGGTTGTACACGTTTGTGTACTTGAAAACTGAAAGGAGTGGAGGCACAAACGCTTTGACAAGTCTGCTGTGGGCCCCCTAAAGTGTTAAGTGTCTGCAGCGTACTGCAGCAGCAGAGAGGGAGCGAGGTCAGAATTATTCTGTGGACAGCGGCAGACACAGGAGGTGTGAGGTGACTGTGATGGGAGAGGAAGACAGGAAAACCGAAAGGCCGCTGGGCCAGGCCCTGCTCAGCAGCCTCCACAGAGCGTGTCCCAAAGTGGGTGGAGCCCCCCACCGGAAAATGGTGAAAAGCGCAGAGTCCCCTGGCCAGTAGGTACTAGGAGGTCTGCAGAGGACAAGATAAGCGGAGCGCTCAGCTTGAGAGGCAGGAACTGCCTGTGCGCTAAGAGCCTTGCTGTAAGAGCAAGACCAAGAAGCAGGACCAGGGTCTGTGGCCCGGAGCAGGCAGCAGGCCATGCAGGCTTGGGTTCCCGAGTCCTTCCTTAGCAGTCCCCTGGGCACGACAGGCACTCAGTGAGGTGAGGACCACCTCACTGGTATCTGAAACTCACAGCAGTCGCTCGATGTCCTGTGGTTAGACAGAACTCCTTGACTTGGCTCCGAGGCCTGTGCCAGGAAACTTCCTGATAAATCTCCCCTGCTGGAGCTGCTGACTTGTTAAGCGTGAGTCAGCACAAAGTATCCTAATTATTTCTGAACTCCATGCTATCTTCTATTTCCAAGAAACTCTTTCCTGTACCTAGAACATTGTCCCATCCGCCCTTTAGCTGCATCCTCCCATTCCCCTTGTCTATAATTTCCCTGGGAAGCTGGCATTGAGGCCCCCTGTGCAGGTTGGGTGCCCTCTTGTGCTCCTATAGCAGCTGGCACTTAGAGCAGCAGCTCCCACCTAGCCCCATGACTGCTGCCCCTATGCCCTGCCCTCAGGAGACTCCTGAAGCACTCAGAGCTATATTGCATGCGTCATTCTCTCTTGACCACTTAGCTCCATGCCTGTCTTAGACTTGCAGAAAGAAGACAGAAAGGAGAGGAAGGGAAGCAGGAAGAAGGAAGGAAGCCTGGAAGTTAAGAGCCAGCCCAGTGGCTGGCATCTGGTAAGACGATTAACCCTGCCCCACCATAGTACAGGGAGGCACTTGTCCTTCCTGCCTGGATTCCAGCTGGCCCAGCCCTGGAATGAGGGGTGAAGAAAGAGGGCAGCACCGACTGCTAGGCTAAGCAGGGGCTCCAGAGGGACAGGAGCCACAGCTGACCCACAGATTCATCATAGAGCCGTGTTATGTGGGCATGAGGGAAATTGTTCAAGCTGGAGAAACCCTGGAAGCTACAGGCTTTGTTTGTGTGTACCAGTAGTATTTAATGTTTACATTATGTGTTCTGGAATTGGTACATATACACCACGCATTTCAATTCTTTTCAATCTACCTTCCCTCTATTATTATCTCTGTCTCTGCCTCTGTCTCTGTCTCTGTCCCTGTCTCTGTCTCTCTCTGTGTCTCTGTCTGTCTGTCTCTGTGTGTGTGTGTGTGTGTGATTGTAAAATGATGTCTTCTATTCTTCGAGGAAAATACCTAAAAGAATTGGTGAGTTAAATAGAGTTTCTAGTTTTAATTTTTGGAAGAATCTCCACTGTGCTTACTATAGTGGCTATTGTAGTTTACATTCCCACCAACAGTGTAGAAAGTTCCCTTTTTCCTGCATCACTGCTAGCCTTTGTTAGTATTTGATTTCTTAGTGATGTGGGGTAAGATGAAATCTCAGTGTTTTTTTAATTTGCCTTTCTCTCATGGCCAGCAACATTGAGCATTTCTTCATGCATTTATTGGCTATTGGTAGTTTTGTGAAGTGTCTGGTTTTTTACTGGGTTTTTTACTTTGGGGGTCCTAGTTTTCAGAGCCCTCCATATACTGTAGATTTTGGTCCTCTGTCTGAAAATAGCTGGCAAAATATTTCTCCTATTCTGTAGATTTTTCTTTTCACTCTGCTGGTTGTTGTTGTGAAAAGTCCAGTGATCTGATATGATCCCATTTGTTGATTCTCAGTAATTTTCCCTATGAAGTTTGAGTGCTGTTCAGAAAGTCCTTGCCTATGCCTATCACTTCAAGAATTTTGCCCTATTTTACTTGCCAGTTTGACTTGTTTTAACTGTTTCTGTTTCATTTCTTTGGTCCACTTTGATGTTAGTTTATTATAGGCGAGAGATATGGGTCCAGTTTCAGTCTTCTGCATAGCCAATTTTCCTAACAGCATCTATTAGAGAGACTATCTTTGCTCAGGTGAGGAAAATACCACCACTTCATTATGAATGGACCAAAAGGTGCAAGGGCAACCAGGGAATGAGGCAGAGTTACCCATGAGGTTGAGGTGGGCTTGGTGCTTTCCCAGCAGAGGGAAGTGAGGAAATGAGCTAGCACAGGTCTTCCTGGAAACCACCTTTGTCCATCCACTAATAACAAATCATGATGACTCACAGGACAGTGTGTTCAGGTGTGGTGCATGTCACAGGTGAGCACACACAAAGGAACTAGAAAATCTTCACATTTCACTGTTGCTGCCATTGTATTGTTGTTGGGAGGAGCCTAAAGGTGCCCAGATTCTTCCGGCCAGTGTCCATGAAGCTTTGTGTCTCCAGCCAGACTAATGCCCTCACCCTCAAGGAATCCACTTCCGCTAATCCTGTGGTTCTTAATACCTTCTTGGCAGCTTTCAAAATTACTAAAACACCATGATTCCCCTATAGGGGCCAGACTGGGTGGTGTGGGTCCTTAGCTATTCTTACTAAGATGGCTGACAGTAATTGTTGTGTAATTGGCTCTGAGAACATCACCTGAAGCAGAGTCACCTGAAGCAGAGTCACATTCCCTCCTGAGCAGTGTGCACTGAGCCCAGCCCAGCACTGCACCTCTGTTGTGGGCTGTGGCACTCTGCTGTTGTCACCTATATGTAGTAGGTGACATCCCCCTCAAAGCAGCTGACAGAAGATAGTGACAGCCCTCTCTCTTTCCTTATGTTCACAAGCTCCTTAATACTCCTGCCCTAAACCACCCCCGTATAAACAGAATGTTACTGAAATTTTTCTGCTTTTGTTCAGAGGGCAGCACAAACTTAAGCAAATTTATGATTTCCCCTAAAAAGAAAACTCTCTTTGCTGAATCCCTTTAAGCAGCCATTTTCCCCAGTGTGTCTTACTTGCTCCAGCCTCAGTTTCCTTCCCCAAAGTGTCTTTCTCTGCCATCTGATGTCTTGTTCTTCTCACCTAGCTCTTGGTAGCCTTACTCATGCCAACACTGAGAGGTCCCTGTCTACAGTCCTGGCACAGCACTCAACTGAACAGGCTGGAGAAGCTTCCAAGCACAGTAGGAGGACAGTGGTGAGTGTCCAGAGACACCTCACTGCAGAGAATATCACACCAAGGGTCTAACCCTCCAAGGCACTTTGTGTAGAATGGTAGAGACTTTCTTCACCTGTGCTCACCAGCATGAGCACACGCTGTGATTCCTTAGCCCGTATCCTGTGAGATGAATATCCTGCTACTCCCCAAGACAGGTGTTTGATTGAAAAAATTGCCCAATCTTACCCCACAGTGAGAGAGGAAGTATTTCCCTAATTACTAAGATACTCCTCCCTTCCCTGTATGTTACCAACTCATAATTCAATAATGTGCCATCTGTTTCTTCCTTATCCCACTTCAGGTCTGCTGGGATAATTAGGGCCCATTGTCATGCTCTCTTTGTGTCTCAGAAGGTGTGAAGCTCCATTCTTCCAATTAGGATATAGTTAAATGACTGTGTTGTCCTTAGGAAATGAAAAGATACAAGCAGAGGAAATCTGAACCTTCAAAACAGAGCGAACAGTGTTTTTCTCCTGGAAGAGTTTGTCTCCATAACAGAGGAATCCTGATAGCACTGTCTGTTCTTATGTAAAAAATAGGATTTCAAAGAGGGAGTAGAGGGATATAGATTTCTAGTCCCATAACATTCTACCTCCAAAGTAACATATTCTGATATCATTTAATAAAATCTTATTGATGCATAAAGTGCCCTAAAGGACTGATAACCTGATTTGAAGATATCTAGTATCAAGGTTGAGTCACTATTAATGAGTAAGTTTTCCATGGTGTGATGTTATCCTGTAGACCCAGAGATCTAAATGTTAGAATGTAGAACACAAGGCCTCATGGGCAAAGATAAGACTTCCAAGTCAGATTCATCATCATCTCTTCAGGACTTTAACTTTATAATCAAGTTAACTTATTCCATTTTGCACTTGCGATAAGGTAAAACAGTTTATGAGGAGGACAAAGATATTTGACTCATCTTTCTGAAAGCTGGAAATTCTAGATCCAGGGATCAACATCTGGCCGGAGTCTTCTTATTGCATCATCCTATGGTAGGAGACTAAACAGAAGGCAAGAGAAAGAAAGCAAGAGGTGGTGTAACTCACCCCTTTACAAGGAGCCCACTCCTACAATCAGCATTAAACCATTCATGAGCTTCTGTGACCTCCTAAGCCCCAGGGTTGTTGCATGGTGTCCAAGTTTCCAACACACAGAAATTGGAGGACACCTTTAGACTATAACACAAAGGAACTATAAAAGATAAGAAAAGCAGTTAAAATAACAGGAAAAAGTCCTTTCTTATCGATAATTGTATAGAATGTAAATGGATTAAGTTTTTCAAGCAAAAGATAGAAAGTGGCTGAGAAGATAAAATACAAGGTTCAATTGTATGTTGCCTGTGAGAGATAGATAAGGTTAAACGGAGAAGATTGGGGGGAGGGAATTCATGGATTACATGGATTTTAAGTAAAAACAAGAAGCATAGAGGGTATCTGTGTACTGATAAAACACAAATACTCTCAGTAGGGATTCCTTGATGTAACAATTGTAAATATAGAAAGCAAATATTAACAAACTGAAAGGAGGAGAACTTAATGCTGCTCTTAACATTAGATAGATCAGATCAAAAAGCTAAAGAACAGACAGAACAGACATTAGCTACACTATAAACCAAGTAGACCTAACAAATATATGTAGAAAATCACATTCACAACATAAGCTACACTTTCATCTAAATACCTGAAAAGAGACCATGTATGGGATCCCAAAAAGTCTCAACAAATTTAATATTGAAATTATTTATGTTGTCCCAAGTGAATGGTATGAAACTGAAAAATCATAGCAGGAACAAAATAGGAAACTTCACAAATGCATGGAAATTAAACAATACATCCTGGAATAACCAATAGATCAAAAAAGAAATCAAAAAAATATCTTGAGACAAATGAAAGTGGAAGCAGCATATCAAAACTTATGGGATGGAGCAAAAAATATACTAAGAAATTCATAGAATTAAAAAAAAAACCTCAAATAAGTACCCTAACTTTAAACAAACTAGAAAAAATTAAGCCTAAAATCATCAGGATAAAAGTAATGAAGTATAAACCAGAATAGATGAAATGGAATCTACAGAAATGGTAGGAAAAAATGAATAAAAATAAGAATTTTTTGAAAAGATAAAACTGAAAAAAGTTTCACTAGACAATATGAGGGAAAAATAGAAGACTCACATCAATAAAATCAGAAATGAGAGAGGAGATATTACCATTAATGCCTCCAACACACCTTTGGTATGATCCTTTGATCATACCAAAATAATGCATAACCTAGAAAAAAATGGGTAAATTCCTAGAGTCATACCATGTGTCCAAACTGGATGATAAAAAAAATCTGAATATAAAAGTAGAGACATTTAATGAGTGATAAAAAAATCTCCCCTCAAGAAAAAAAGGAAGAGCAGATAGATTCATAGGTGAATTCTACCAAATATTTACAGAAGAATTCTAGTCAATCTTACTCAAATTCTTCCAAAAAAAATGAAAACACATTATGCTTCCAAAGTCACTTAAGAGACCAACATAAGCCCTACCCTGAAAGCAAAGTCAGATAAAGACAACAGAAGAAAAGAAAATTACAGTCCAGAATCCTTAATCAACATGGATGTACAGCTCCTCATTAAAATATAAGCAAATGAGTCTGATGGCACACAAAACTAATCAACCACTGTGATCAAGAGATGTTTGTTTCTTTCTGGGATGCAACAATGATACAACATATGTAAATCAATAAATCCAATATTCCACAGTAACAGGATGAAGCATAAAAAAGAGCAGAAAAATCAATTGACAGGTTTCAATATCCTTCCATTTAAACATTTCACCAAATTAAGTAGAGAAGGCATATACCTCAATAGAATAAAGGCCACACACCTGACATCATATTCAGTAGTGAAAAACTGCACTCTCAGACACCTATCAGTGTAGCCCTGGAAATCCTAGCCAGGACATTTAGATAATGAACATTAATGTCACATGAATCATAAAGGAAAATGTAAAATGTTTTCTGTTTGCAAATGACATGATTTTATAGATATGAAATTCAAAGAACTCTAGCCAAAATCCAATGCATGAATTAAGTAAAATTAGTTGCAAGATGCAAGATCAACACAGAACTGTTCAGTTGTGTTTAAAAATTATCCTAAAACACATCAAGAAAATAATCACATTAAATTAATCACAATTTTTTTTCAAAATAGGGATAAATTTAGACTGGAGGGAAAAAATATAAAAATAATTAAGCATTGATGAAAAAATGTATGAGATGAATACATGGAAATATACTCTGTATATGCACATTAGAATATCATATTGTTAAAAGTCTCCACAGAACCCAATATAATACACAGATTCAATACAGTCTGTACAAAATTCCCTAAAATCTTCACAGAAATAGGGAATAAATCCTCAAATTTGTATGAAACCAAACCAAATCCCATATAGTTAGAGCAATAAAAGTTGAATAAAACTAGATATTATACTATCAGTATCAAAACACTTTAAAAGGCTATAGTAATGAAACTGTAGGATATTAGCATTTTAAAATGTCACCTAGATCAATGTAAAAAACTAGAAAGTCCAGAAATAAACCTACACTATACATCAACTTGTCTCTAGTCAATGTGCTAGGGACACACAATAGAGAAAAGAGAAGTTCTTTAATAAATTCCATTAGGAAAATCACATATCCACATAGTACAGAAGGAAATTCATCACTTACCATTCAATGTACATAAATAATAAACACAAAAACAAATGGCTTACAAATACAACTTGAAAGCACAAAGTCCTAGAACAGGAGAAAGCTTCTTGGGGCTGGTTTTGGCAGTGATTCTTTTGCTGTGATACCAAAGGCACAGGAAGCAAAAAGAAAAATGAGCCAATCTGTAATAATAATAATAATAATAGTAATAATAAAATGAAACAAAATCACCTTACAGAGTGGCAGAAACTTTCATGAACCACATGTCCATAAAGTATGTAAGAAAGTCACACAACTCAACAGCAAAACAAAAAGGAACAAGCAAAATTTCAAAACATAGGGAAAGGGCATTTTTCCAAAGGAGAAACAACAATGTCCAACAAGTAAATTTTTAAAAAGATACATAACGTTAATAATCATGAAAGATATACAAATCAAAACTACAGTGGTCTGTGCATAGGACTGTAACATAATGTCTTCAACTGCTTCAAGAGATACCAGGGGAGAATAGCTGAGTTGTTTGTAACAGAACAGTTCATAATGGCCATATATTTCAAAGATACTATCTATTGATCCACAGATGAATGGATAAAGAAAATGTGGTTATGCACCATGGAGTACTACTTGGCTATAAAGAAGAATTAACTTGAGTGATTTGTAGGAAAATTGATATCCCTTGAGAACATAATGCTGAATAAAATAAGCCAGACACACAAGCCTAAATATTGTGTGGTTTTGCTTATATGAAACCCCAAAATCTAAAGTATGACAATACAATATAGATCATAGGAAGTGGAAAGGTTGATCTTTTCAGAAAGGAAGGGAATGAAGAGAAAGACGGAGGGCAGAGGGAGAGAAAGGGAATGAAAATAGAGTGAAGGTGTGTTATCTGAGTGTACTAACTGCCCACGACAAAAGTAATCGGCATTTACTGTAAACATGACTAATGAAAAATAAACTCCCTAAAAACACAATTAGCTATTGTTTCACTCCTGTTTGCGTGGTGTGTGTGTGCGCGTGTGCAGGAATGTAGCAGGAAAGGAAGCCTGGTATTCTGTTGGAGGGAACATTTGTTGTAGCCACTGTGGAAAGCAGTATGATGATTCTCCTCAAATCAGAAACAGTGTTACATGTAATTCAGCAATCAGGTTTTTATTTATCAAAGGAACGGAAATCTTTATCTCAAAAGGTTAACTGCACTTGTGTTCACTGTAGCATTTTTGACAATAGTCAAAAAATAGGAGCAACCTAACTGTCTTATTCCTGACCTTGAAGAAAACACTTGCAGCTTTGTTGTCTCATCATCAGCCCCCAAGATCATGGGGTGGCACCTGCAAGGCAGAAAAGAAAGAGTGCCCTGCAGGCAAACGTTCTCCACGAACACCAGCAGGCGGATCCAAGACACTGAGGACAGTCAGGGAGAGGCCGGTGACATGGAGCCACTGGGAGAAGAAGGCAATGTTCAGATGCCAGCAAGCAGGACTCAGACGCATAAACACACACACACACACACACACACACACACACACACACACACACACATGGAGAGAGACAGAGATAGAACTGGGCAAGAGATGAAAAACACATTAGCACAGAGACAAAGAGAAAATCAAAGCAGAGAGAAAATAAAAACCACACAGAGGACTAAGCCTGATCAATGGAAAGAGGAGAAAGAGACAGATAGGGGAGAGCCACAAAGGGGTATCAATAGGAAATAGAGAAATCGCAAGGGAGACTGAAATGTGGAAAAAATAAATATTTGTGCATACTTAATGGGTTACAGACCTATTTCCTTGTTGGACAATTGTGTGAGGCTCATAGTGGTGCACAGGCTGAGGTCTGGAGCTGCCCTCCAGGTGCCACAAGAGAAGAGGCCCACATCAAAAGAAGCAGGACAGTGAGGCCGAGGAGAACCCGAGCAGTCAGGGAACACAGAGCAACAGCCTGGGAAATTGAGCACTGCTAACTTGCAAAGGTGCCAGGCTGAAGAAGCACCCTGAACCCTTACATCTGTTTGCAGATGCAAGAAAGCTAAGTTTGTAGGCAAAACCCTGTCATTTCAAAGTTAAAATCGGTATTCGAAGACGATTTCACCCAGGAGTGTCCAGGTAATGATTCTTGGTTAGATGCAGGACTCAGCTTGACACAACTCAGGGAATTAGAGGGACTCAGGAAACCAATCCCACAGAAGTAGAGCCTGCTCCAGAAATCCTAGAGCCCCAGCTTCTCAGGGGAAGGTGTGGTGTATGTAACAGACTAAGACACACAGCCTCTGGGGGGGGGGGCGGGTTTGAAACTCAGACTGTTGGCAAGATATTCTTAAATATAATTGGTGAGAGAGAGAGAGGTTTCCTTTTTCCCGAATTTCACAGGTGGTTTTCTGGTAGACAATAAGTAGCCCTCTATGGGAAGAGCTAAGTGCATTTCCTAGAGCAGAGAAACAAACTTGCACCTAGTCCAGTTTCTAAACCATACCTGTCTTGTGAAAAGCTTGTAACAAAACACAAATATTCCCTAAACAAGAATTTTAAGTCATGGCAACTTACATACATAGATGTGTGTGTACCCATGAACATTACGTAAACTATATTCTTAGGAGCTAATAATTTACAGCACTCAAAAGAATAAAGATCCTAACACAAACATGATTTAATAGGGAAAATGTATACAACACTACTGTAGGAAGAGATGGGGAACAGAAAGGAAGATAAAAGAAAAGGAAGAGGAATCTAGGGTTCCTAGGAATGGTGTTAGAAAATAAATCACACTGGGAGGAGGGACAGGGAGGACCTGCAAGAGCTGGGGATGGGGAAGGGTTTTTAGAGTTGGGAAGAGAGAAAAGACACAGTTCTACCTGTGCTGGAGTGAACTGTGTAACTCTGGGTGTGTTTATGTGGGTGCAGTGGTGAGTTCACATAGGTGCGAGTTCATTTATATACATGTGCACATGTGCATGTCTCTATGCAAAGTGACTGTGTTTTCCAGTGGAGGCAGCGGAGGGACAAAGGGCCTTCTACATGAGAGGGGAGAGAGGAAAGCCCATGTGTGCAGCCAGCAGACTGAACACACCCCAGGCTCTGAGCCCAGGCTCTGAGCTGGGAGTCCTGGGTCTTTGCAGCATTACAGCAGCATTTCATACAGGGCATAGGGACCCACACTGATGTCTTGGAACCAAGGCACAACCACGTGGAAAAGACCATCATTTTTCCATTTTAGGGAAGATATCCAAGTTAAATCAGGTATCCTTTAAGTGACTAGGGAGAGAGAATGAAGACTCAGGATGCTGTGCCTCAGGACTCAAGGATTCATAATTTATGTAAGGAGGCAAAAGATTTTTAGTAAGTGTTGGTGTTATGCAGAAACATGGACCCTGTGGTCAAGTCATATTTTTTCAGAAGAATCCAGAAATGTAGATTTTTATGTAAAACCTTTTGTCTTTTCGATGTCAGCAATTAATATCAAAATTATATTGATTTGCTATACTGTACCTATGAGTTTCCAGTTAATCACTCTGATTTAGATGAAGAAATCAGATTGACTCCCTTTAGAAACTGTGAAGACTCAGACCTGTATTTACAATAAATTCCATGATTCCCATCCCCTTGCTAGGAAAATGAGGAAATGGAAGGTCCAGACTGGTTCAACAGTCTAAATTCACATGGCAAATTTGTCAAAAATAAATAAATAAAAATAAAACTAGGATGAGAAGACAGTTCTCCAAATTTTTCAGTGTTTTATGTATGACACCCCCCTATATAAATTATTTACTGCTGCATAACAAATTAGTCCAATGCTTAGCGGCAGAAAACAATAAGCATGGGTTACCTCATGCATTCTGTGGGTCATGGATACTTGAAACGCCCTGGCTGAAGGTCTCTGCCATGAAGCTGCAGTTGAGTCTCCACCAAAGCTGCAGTTCCACCTGGAGGCTGTACAAAGTCAGAGCCTCCGATACCCTCTTTCATGTGGCTGTTGGCAGCAGTATCCATTGGGATGCTAGACTTGCTACCAGCTAGCAGTCTCCCAATGTGCCTTTTTCTGTGGGCCTCTCCATAGGGCAGGTCAATACACGGCAGCTTTCTTCAGGCAAGTGAGAGTGAGAGAACAAGCAAAATCTGGTTCTCTCACTGAACCCATAATCTTGTTATGACCTAACCTGATAAATAGCATTCCATCACTTCTGCCAAGTTATAATCACTGAGTATGAATCAATGTAGCCAGTCCATGATCCAAAGAAGCAACTCACACAAAAGCATGCACAGCAGAAGACAGGGGTCTCCAGGGCCATGCTTGGCCTCCCATTGTGTCATGAACAGGCACCAGGAATCTACAAGCTACAGCCACTGGCTAACTCCAGCTGCTACCTGGTTTTGTAAACAAAGTCTTACTGGAACGAAGCTGTAGCCATTTGTTTATGTAGGGTTATGGCTGCTTTTTGCACTATATCTTGTAGCATTGAGTAGCTGCAACAGAAATCACATGGCCAAAGAAACCTAAAACTTATTTACTGTCAGACCCTTTATAGGAGAAATTTGCGATTTGCTGGTTACTGGTAGGTGCAATCATAAGGCCCTTTGAGGCATACAGAAGAGAGGATTGAGATAATGATATCAAATTCCGTTTTTGACTAAATTCCTCTTTGTGCCCCAGCACTGTCAGTGCATGGAGTATACCTCTAAAAGTTGGTCTGTTACAAGTCTGGATCAGTGGACCATATGTGAACTTGGTTCCCCAGATCCTGTCTTATCCTTTCTTCTTCACATAGTCATTCAGCTCAGACACCACATCCATATAACTTTCGGTAAAAAGATGACCACACAAGGTAATTACAATTATAGCATTCTCAAGTGGTGGGCTGGTTATTTAGCTTAATTACATGGGAGCCAGATAAGCCTAGGATCCAGATATGAATAACAAAAATTTCTTTCACTTCTGTTGGCCACAGTTTCCTTATTCTTAAAATACTGATTATAATACTAACTTTATGCCTTTTGTTGTCGGAAAAATGCATTAAGCTTCAACTACAGGGACAGCTATGATAATAGCTCCATCGAGGCCAAACACCATGTGTAAGACACTTAAATTGTTCCTCACTGCCTACTGAGACAGGGCCAATAGGTTCATTGCAGTCATCAGTTCTGACTTAATGATAGTGGCAGAAACCATTAAACACTGCCTCTCGAGCTCTGCCCCTTGCCCTTGGATATATCATTTCTCCTACCCTGGTTCCCTGGCCATTGCTACGTCTACCTCCTGACTCTTTTATAAGAGCTACCTGTATCTCACAGCTCTTGCCCAAGCATGCAGCCAGGAGGTTATGTAAACAGGTAGCAAGTGCTGCTGTAAGGTGAGATTTTATTGGGCTGGATGTGAAATGCATTCAAAGGTCTGCTGTTAAGAGAATAGCAATGTAAATAGAAAGCTGTCACTGTGCCCTTCATGCTACTTGGAATTGCACCATTGCTGCTGGATTGGTAGGACGATGTCCTTAGGGTGGTCTTGTGTGAATTTTTAGCAAACCTGTCTTGCTCATGTTTTAACCCCAGGAGTCAGGAGTGTCAGTCACCTAGCTTATCTGAGTGTGATTATGGAGACTGTGCATCACACACATCACTGCCAAGACTTCAAGTCCTTGAACTTGTCTGACCTGCTCAAAAGTGATGTATCTCAGGCCTTGTCTCCCTTGAGATCATATTTCCTGTCCCTTTAATTCTATTAATAGTACCAGCACTTACCCTGTCCCAGGGACAGAGCCAGGCAGTCTTCAAAGTATGCTTCTTCTCACCCAAGTCCCTTTTTTCATGACCAATCATTGCCAACTTTTCACTTCATCTTCTAGATAACTGGACTTCTCAAACCATTCTGTTTTTATTCTACTGTCATAGGAAATGTATAGCCTTTCATTCACCTCTCTTGTGCCTTACTCTTCTGAAATTATTTCTTCTTTATCATAATTGCTCTGAGTATCATAGTAGAAAAATATTTCTAGTAGGTCCTATAATTCAGATCCTATAATTCAGAGGGCTCAGTATTTGCTTTCGTGTTAACATAAGAAAACAAGTGGAAAAAAGATACCATGTATTAAAAATTGTGGTGACTAATCATGATAGCATTAGGCATTCATTATGGAGCTTGGAAGAAGTTCCAACTTGCAAGATGCATACTATGCCTTGCATAAGTGCAGAGTAAAAACATATCACCCTCAGCCAAGCTGATGGAGATGATGAGGACGTGGTACTTGGGCTTGGCTGTGTAGATTATGCAAACCACTCTAAGAGTAATAAACTGGATTTAGTAAGTGATTATATTTGTGCAATATGGAAAACAGAAAAGTCAAAGAGAAATTTCCAGTCTCTATCATCAAGCACTTTGGAAACTGGAGGTGATAGCTACAAAAAACAGAAAGATTGAGTTATAAGCTGAGATGACTATGACAGGCGGGATGTTGTCAAGGTGGCAGAAGTCATAATGATACTCAAGTAGATGTAATTATCGTCCAGGAAAATTGGGAGACAGTAATCCAGCCTAGAAACAAAGATAGAAGCAGCTGTGTGGAGGCAGAGTTAAGGACTGTGTGAAACCAGAAGAGGGGCATTAAGCAAGATTCTCACATTAAACTTAGAGCACGACACACACTACCTCCTCTAAGCACGTGCCTTGTCTGTGAAATGCAGGAGGACCTATCAAATTGATTGGCATACATTTCGAATCAAATATATGCATGCAAATTGTTTAACAGTGTCAGGCACAGAACTAAGGAGGAAGAGGAAAAAGAGAAAGGATAAAATTTTATCATTATCATTTTTATGATAATGTTAAGTTCTTGAAGTTGATCTCATTTAGAACTTTGGGTATAGAAGAAAAAGTTCATAATAAATAAAAAACAGCAATCAGAAAGGCAGGAAAAAGTACAATTTATGCACTTTTCATGTTATTTTACTAAATCCTTGTCTATGGATTTTCCACCACTTGTGTTGGAAATAGTGAAGGACACAAAACTCAAAGGCTAAATAGCATTTATTTTTGTATCCAATACAGGACTAGGTCCAAAAGTCCTAACACACAGCAGAGGTTCACGACTTTAAGTGGATGTTGAATGGAGGTAGAGAGAGCTTTCAAGACTGTAAGTGTTCTTACAAGTCGCAGCATGCCAAAGATAAGTCAGGTGATTAAAGTCAAAAATCTTGGATTAGAGATGAAAGAGTGGGTATTGAGTTTAAAGGGTAAGAGCTTGATGGGTTTGATACAGATGCCAGGAAGCAGTAAGTTTAGCGGCAATGGGTTGAAGGGAAAAGGGCATATGCATGAATATAGAGCACCACACAAGTAGAAACCACTGTCTTGAGAAACTTGATAGTGGGTGAAAGGAGAGTGGTTTGAAAAAGGAGTCATGGACAGGTTATTCCCCAATAAAGAACGGAATTTATTGTGGAGCAGCTGAAGGTGCCAGCAGAAGGGAGCTGAGATGAATGTATGTGTGGTAGAGAGAAGAGGGTTCCCAGGGTCAGAGAGTTCCTCTAAAATGAGAATGAAAGAAGCCAGAAACTGAAAATACACACACTTGGGAAGGCATCTGAAACATGGAGACTTGACAGCAAGAGTTGGTCCCCCTTCCCTTCTATTTCCGTTAGAACCCAGTGAGAGGCGGTCACCACTATACCCATTCTCACTGACAACCAGGGAGCCCAAGCAGCCAGAGCAGGGCTTCCCTGCTTCCAGCCCCAGCCTGGGTGTGTGTCTTCCAGCAGTCTCTGGCAGATGTGTACTTCAGACACACGGGGAACGCCCCGTGGAGTCTGGTTCCTTCCTCTGCAACAGGAGGTACAGCACAGGCCCGCTGGCCGCACAGTGGTCTGCTGGATGTGGGGCCTCCAAGCAGGAAGCCGGCCCCTGGGGCACTCATTCTGAGGTTGCTGCAGTAAATGCTGTGTCAGGGAGGCTGCTGGGCGCATCTTTATTCCCAGGACCTTCCCAGCTCCTCTCTTCCTCGGTGCCCCTACCTGCCTTTTAACCTCAGTCACATACTGGCCACCAGAGACCAGACAGAAAACACTGGTTTTCAGGGCCTGTATGTATCTTACCTTCATCTCTTCTTACACTTGTGCTCTTTAAACTAACTGTTTTTCTACTTTATGTGAAAAAAATATCATCATGTCGTGTAAGTCCAAAAAATAATAGTAACCTGCATTGATTCAGGAGATAATTTTTTCCTTTTGCAGCTTGTGTCCACCCAGAGTCCAGCCCTGGTCTGAACATGATGTGAACACCGACTCTGTGACTCTGAAGGCTTCCTTTACAGACTGGTACCCTCTCTCCCAGCTCTGCACACAGCAGGCTCTGCCTGAGGACTCCCCATGGAGACAGTGGTCCTCAGATCCTCTCTCCTGGAGCCCCGCAGGTCCCACTGCAGGTCCCATGAAACTGCTCCTAATGGTCCTTGTTCATCTTATAGTGCTCTCTCAGGCCTATTAGGTAATCCAGTGCTGTCTTGAAGGGAAGTAAAGTAGGGAAACCTAGGGGATCTGAACAGTGATCTGACAGTTCCTGAGAGGAGTGCTCTGTGCAGATTTGGTGCAGAACACAGACAAGGAACACCTGGGGCAGTTTGTTCCTCCTTGTCAAAGCTAAGCAGTGTCTGGGTGTTTGCTTGTGTGCGTGGGAGCCAGAGGGAAATCCACTAGCAGTGGAGGGTGGGGAGAGTAGAGAGTCCGATGCAGAACAATAGCATGACTGTAGCAAGGGGGCCATGGAAGGTCTGGAGACCCATTCAAGGAGGATCCAAAAGAATGTTAAGCACAAATTCATTATTGATCTCTTGAGAAAAGACTAGAAACAGAAGTGTAGGGAGACTGACCAAAGCCCAGCCTCAGGGCCTCTTGGTGTGAGGAGCTGTGCCCTGCTGTGCTCCTTACCTGCTGCTGAATCAGGACCTTAGTAGTCCCTGGGCCAAGAGCCTCTTCCCTCTGGGTTATGCTGAGCTGCTCTGAGAGCCATGGAGAGGCAGAATGGCTGAGAACCCTGGGTCCCTGGATGTTACTAGCCCCTGAGATACTAACGAACTGATGCAGGTGGATTGCATAAATGTCCTTGGCACAAAGTGGGGTCTTTTGGTTTGGTTTGGTTTTTTGTCTTGTTCTTTTCAGGTAACCACCAGGCTCATTGGCTTAATTTTATGCATGTCTTTCTCAGGCCTTCTCTTTAGTATTTATTAAGGAATAGCTAGTGGGGCTAGAACATTAAGTAATTTAAAAGCAAACTTGTCTGAAATCTGCCCATAGCCTTGGACAGACTAGACAATTCACTGCTTTCAGAACTGGTCCTCTGTTTCCCCTCCTCCATGGTCTTGCTCCCCTACAGCGTGCTTGCTTGCCATGAGCCACCGCATCAGGGCTGATGCATCCTGAGTCCTGTGACTCACGGTTAGACAGGAGTCCTTGTGTTCAGCGCTCGTCCCTTCTTTCCACACCCTCTCCTTTCCTTCCTGTTGCCCTCTCTAACTCTCTCTCTTTCTCTTTCTCTTTCTCTCTCTCTTCTCTCCCTCTCTCTCTGTCAGACAGCAGGAGCACAATATCAAATAGATTGTTCAAAATTCAGCAGGATCTACAGGAAGCCAAAGCACCCTCAGTGTGTGGGTGTTCCTGCCTGCTAAATGCAAAAGACCCCAGGAAATGTGCTGCCTGAAGGTGACTTCATGTATTAGTCTACATTGTATGGTTCTGGGGAGACAGATTCCTTAATTACCCAGCCAAGTGAACCCCACACTTTTCCTGGCCCACTCACTATGAAGCGACCCTCTAAACTGGAAGTCAGGAGAAGACAGTATCTTCTAGATCCTCAGTGACAGTTCATATGTCCCCAGGAGACACACATCCACAGGACTGCAGGAAGCAGAGAACACAGCACAAAGTGCCAACAACAGCTTGCAAAGGACCCAGTGTGAAGTACGCTTCTTTCCCCAAGAACCTCTTATGAAGAGCCGTGCTGCCTTAGAAGGGCCTACCATAAAGAACAGATGTAAACCAAAGATTCACTGGGGAGTCTTTTTGTCTTCCCATGTGGAAAACTGAGTCATATGCAGCGCTGTAGCCGGCTGGTGATGCTGAGCCCATACCTTGAGCAAGGAGCTGGTTTTAAATCTGCACCACACCCAGCCTCACATGTCTGGCTCCACCAGTGTGAATGTGGTAGGGCAGCAGAGGCAGAGCTGTACAGTCCTTCTCCAGGAAAAAAAAATCTCTCTTGGTCTTCAATTCTGAACTGAGGATAAATTTTAAGATGTACTTTTAGAAGATAAATATGTCTACAACTCCAAAGTTTTCTTAAACATACAGAGCTAAATCCCTGTTGAAATCTTCAGCATGACTCATCTTTTTGGCAAAATCCGGCAGCTTTATGCTTAAACCCTTACCACGCTACTTAGTCAGTATCTGCCCTATATGTACCTGTTTTTCAGGTTTTTCTTTTTGGTTGTCTTGTATTTTTTTTTTTTTTTTGTGACTGAGCATTGAACCAAGGCTTCCTGCATACTAGGCAAGCACTCTACTGCTAAGCTACATCTCCTGACTCCCCTGCTCACCTGGCTAAACCCACTTGGAAGCTTCTTGAGGAAAGAAACAAGACTCCTCGGCTTCTTATCTTGCCTCATTGGTCCCCAGCCCACATTGAGTGCAGAGCGGGTTTCCAACCTATAGGAGGTATGCACTTTGCTTACTGAAGCACTAGGCGCCCCAGGGTCCCTGAATACACCTCTGTAGGAGTGACGCACCCGGAACTTCAGTAGATCCGTTAGGATTGCATTGACTCAGTGTAATAGCCAGGCAGCATCATGGTGATGTTAGTATCAATTAGCCAATCAATAAATAGGATCCGCTGATTAGATTCCCTAACATTTAAGTCTAATAGTATAAGAAAAGCAATTTGTGCTTTAAACATTGAATTTCACATGAATCCTGGACTTCCTTGAAAGCTCATAAGTCAAGAGCACTACTGTAAGGCCTAGCATTGCCTTTCAAAGCCCCTTGTGGTGTGGAAAGTGTCCTCTGGGAACAGGTGACAGTACAGGAAATGTGTCGTCATAGTGAAGCAAAGTAAAAATCTTCATTCTTAAGTTTGGGTAACTTTCAGGCTGTCACAAATATACGCTGCATTTCACTCTAGCTTTGGCACCTCGCCTTAGGTCAAGGACCTCCCAGCAAGAGCTGTTCAACACAGACATTTCTTGCTTAACCAGGACAAGGATGGAGTTCTGTTCTGAGACACAGCAGTTAAATGAATTGGTGGCTAAGTAAGGAATTATATACAGAATGTACATGACAACATTCAGAACAAAGAAATAGTCAAAGCAAACTCCAACCTGTGATTCTGCTTCTATTTGCATAATTCTTATACATGAATCTGTAATGTATACAAGAACATAAACTACAGCCCTGTACAATACAATCAGCAAAAATTATAGCATTGTGTAAACAAGATACACTGTTCAAAAGAGACACTGAGGCTCTATCAACAAGATGTACAAAACTGTACCAAAAAAGAAGAAGATGACCATACATCTGAATGGCATGGCTCAGTCATAAGTCCAAAGAGTCACTAAATGGATAGATCGTTAAATGAGGAATGTCTATAGAGCAGCCAGTAGCTGGTTCTGGTCCCTCATGCTGAATACATCCAGTGCCTGACTGCTTTGGTTCCTAGGAGGATCTCAGATGCTCCCTGGCTTTTAGGAAGAGACAAAAAGGTTAAAAGTATAAGACTGCAGACAAGTCAGGCCCAATCCACAAGTCCTGGAATTGTTTCTACAAGAAGACAGGTCTCACCCAAAACAATTCCAACTATATCCACAACCAGACCTAGACCAGATATGGACAAGCCCCTGGTGCCCAGAGGGCAGAGCAGAGCCACAGGTTCAGGTGTGCAGCCACCTCCTGGATGAGTGGGTGTGCCCACTGTGGAGACAGACAGTGGTGTGACATAGCAGGAAGCCATGTGTTGTCATCACTGTGATATTACAGGAATCACAGCCACGGCTGAGCTCTTTATAAAGGCTATGCCCGCATGCCATTCAGTCCAGTCTCATCCTGACGCCAAGCTGCTGGCTATGAGGATCCATTACCTCCTGTTTGCTGTGCTCTTGTTGTTCTTGATGCCTGTTCCAGGTAAGATGGCTGAACAGTAAGAGATGGGCAGAAGCGATGATGTTATCTTCCAGTCAGTCCCTGTGTGTTCTTCATGGAGCTCCGGTGGGGGAGATGTGATGTGCTAGAACTAGTCCAAGGGCTGTCCATGTCTGGATAGGGTCTGACTGTAGATGGGGCTGGTGTGGGCACCTCGAAGAACTGGGCATCACCTCAGGCTTGTCTTTTTTGTCCTGTTCTAAATAATTTAAAAGTGCCATCTCTTCACTTCTTTCTCATAGGACAACTATGAAGGGGACATGACAAAAGTGATATGGAATTTTGACTCCCATAGGAAAATGATTTATTCTGAGAACAGCAGATTTCTGTTTTACTGTTTAGTGGTTAGAGGCAGCATGGCAGAAGCACTGTGTCCTGGGGTCCCCTCCTGTCCCTGCCGAAGGTCGCAGAGGTCAGGCCACTTCCCACGTCATTCATGGGCTGAGAACGGAGCTATAGAGACTGAGGTGTTGTCTATTAGTTGCTCACCCATATCTTGACTGTTCTCTTGATTTTTACTGAAAAGGAAAAAAAATAGATAAAAGAAAAACAATAGATGAGTTATTTGAGGAATTCCAAAGCCCATGTACTGTTTCCAGAATGTTCTTATGTGGTTTTGTTTTCACTGCAGGTGAAGGAGGGCTCATAAGTGCAGTACAAAGATATTTTTGCAGAGTGAGGGGCGGCCGCTGTGCTGCCCTTTCCTGCCTTCCACGGGAGACGCAGATAGGCCGTTGCTCTCTCAAGGGCCGGAAATGCTGCCGAACAAAGAAATAGAAGAAATGTGGACGTGACAGTGGGAGATGCCTTCTTAAGATAAAAATGAACTAAATATTTTTTCTAAAAAATTAAAAAGTTGATAAAAAGATAATCCTGGCTCTTCTGGTCATTGCTACCAAAATAGACTCCTCTGACCACTGCCCTTTCATTCAAATGGAGCAGAATCTCGCCAGGAATCTGCAAAACTAATCCCAGCTTATTTTCCCAGGATTGCCAGGATGCATCTCACTTGTAACTCTACACCTGCACCCTTTTCTCCTGAAGTCTTCCTTTGCTTTCCTTCGCTGTGCACCTTCCAGTCTTCTGCTGGAGATCACAACTCTGTGGATCCCCAAAACATTAATGCATCCCTCAAGACCCTCCAAATCCTTCAGAACATGTCACTCTTTAGAGAAATGCCAGCCTACAGCTGCCCCATTCCCTTTGCATGCCTGGCTCCTGCACTTCTGCTTCCTTGGTCTCATAGCTGGCATATGCTTTGACCTCCCATTTCATGCCTGAAGTTTAACATGCCACCCCCCACGGCTGCCTCAGGTCTCCCCCTTTGGAAACGTGGCTAGTGTTCCAGTGGGAGCAGTCTTCTCCCTGATGTGCCACAGGGTTCTGACTTGAGTCCTCTGTCTCCAGATTTTGCTTTGTTTCTGCCCATTGCTAGTCTCCATACCTGGTTTCAAGGTGCCTATGAGCAAGGATCTTGTCTTGTCATTTGTGGACTGCTCAGCAAAGTGCCCTGAGCATGGAAGGTGCTCAACAGGTTTTTGCTGACAAGAGGAACATTCGTCCCATTTGTGTGCACAGCCATTCAACTATCTAGTAGAGAGATGGGTCTGTGCTCTCTGACAACAGCATCAGGACAAAAGGCCACAGGTGAGAGAGTACAGGTGCGCTCTCGGGAAGAGGAGAAAAAAATCCCAAGTAATAGTCTGGACCTCCCTTATGTTCCATCAAAAAGGGCTCAGTGTTTGGGAACTGCCCTCTGACAGTGCTTAGGGACAGAACCAAGTAGAAGATGTGAAATGGTTGCTTTCAGAAATGAGGCCAAGGGCAAGACTGTGACTGCGGAAAGGAGGAAAGCATTGCCGTGAGCCTTACAACCGCTCCAACCTGTGGCAGGACAGGTGCCAGTACAAGGCATAGGGGAAAGGAGTCACACAACCAGCAGTGCAGCAGACGGGAAGAGATGGAGACAGCATGAGACACCCAGGTTTCCTGGGCAGAATTCCTGGGACGGAGCAGCACTGGGAGGAGACAGAGCTGTTGAGTGCTGTGGGGCTGGAGGGTCTGCAGCCTTGGGCGCAGTTCTGAGCTTAGTGTGCTTGGGGTAAAACTTCCGAAGGTTGGAGGGAAATAAAAGCACCCAAGGAAGTTAGAAATCCAGTGCAGGAGCATGCAGAGAGCTAGAAAAGTGAGCATCCCTGCCAGCAAAACAGACCTCAGAGTCTTCTGAGAAACCATATTTCAGTGCTGCTCTTTAAGTCTGCAGGAAACTGTCTGGGAACTCTAACAAGGCTTTGAAAGCCTTTCTTAAATGGACCAAAGTGGACTGTGCAAAATGTAAATGTGAGCCAGAATAAAGCCGATCTTTCTTCGAGGGGAAATTGCATCACTCACCAGTTTAGACTTTCTAGGTACTGAGTGCAGTAAAAACCTATCAGCATGTGAAGAGGCGGGGAGTGAGGTATAACTTGTCAAAGTCATCCAGCGAAACACCTGGGGAAGCCAGAGATAACAGAGTTAGCCAAAAGGGGTACACAGGAGTGAGCACCAGTTTTACACAAGGCTGAAAGGAAAGGCTGTTCATAATGAGAAAAGAGATGAAGGATTTAAAGACCTAATGAAAGTTCTTGGTATGAAAAATAAAATCTGAAAAATACAGGCTGAAATGGATTCAGAGTAGATGTTAATGAAGAGCTGCAAACCCACGCCTCTACTAATACAAAAAGGAATGAATAAAGCAAAGAAAGACCCAAGAAAGTCTAAACTAAATTAACAGTGACAGAAACCTCAAGCAGTCTCACATACACGTGCGTGTAGGATGGAAAGAAAGAAAGCCTTAGGAGGGAAAAATGGAGAAACAGCCAAGGAAATAAAAACATATTATTTTCCAAATTTGGTGTAGATTTAACATCTAAAATTAATCCAACAAAATAAACAAAAGCCACACCAAGCATATAAAGTCAAACTACTTAACATCAGTGATAAAAAGCAGGCTGAGAAAAGGCACACTGCACAGGGAAGACCAGAAGGAGGAGTTGAACAAGCCCCTCAGAATCTGTGTAAAGAAGGCTCACCAACCTGGGACTCCATTCCAGCAAGAATGTATCTCAGAAATGAAGGTAACAACATTTTTCTGACAGCAACAACAAAGACAAGTTAAAGAAAGGCTTCATCAGGAAACCTGCCTACAGCATTCGGGCAGTAAGAAAAGTATCTGTGAGAAGTTTGACCCTGTAGGACAGAGAGAGCGCACGGTCCACAATCCAGCAGCTCCAGAAAGGCAGGGAAGGCATCCAGTCAGTGTAAAGTGAGACCTAAATGCAGGCTGTCTATGAAAACATCACAGTGTGTCAACCTTGAGCACAAAGGTAGGTTAAAGAAGGAAAAAGGGAAATATGAATAGAGGTGCATATAAATATATTAGTGAGGACAGAATTGACTGTATTGAATAGTTGACTGTAAACCAAATTAGACTTTAGAGTAAAGAATGTTTCCAAGGATAGTGGCGAGGGGGGTATTTTTACTGATGGAAAGTGCTTAAGTCACCAAAAGCACAAATAAACACTAAATTTGTATTTAGTTTAAATTTGTACTGTTTGTATTTAGTATCAACAAAACTTCAAAATCCTTAATATGGACATGTCGGCACATTTTTTTGTGGTAATGAGGCAAAACACCAAAGTAATTAAGGAGGTAAACAACAGTGTCATTCAATGTGGGCTTCTGAAATTTATGGAGTACTCCACCCAGTTACTCAACACAGTTCTTTTACTGAGTTGGAAAACAAGTCTCAAAAACCCAAAACACACAAGAGACAGTGTGGCAGCCATTGTTGACTTTGCTATGGTCCGGTTTTGAAGGCCTGGAATGCTTTCATTCCTTTGTTTTCATCAGTTTTATACTATTTTGTTTTGTTTAAATTTATTGTGTGGACAACTATTTTGAAGAAAACGAGAGATGTTATGGTAGTCACCACTGATTTCCTGATGTCCAATTTTGAAATATTGTGTTGTTTGCATTGTTTTGTTCTGATCTGCTTTGTTCTATTTGTTATGTTTTGTTTTATCCTCTTTAAAATAAAAATCCAAAACACTTTAAAATTATACAAAATGTGCTATGTACAAAATATTGATAAAAGACACCTGTAAAAAAAATCGCAAGTATTTGGAAAGTAATCAACTTGTTTTTCCTTGTTCAAGCAGAAACCAAAAGAGAAAATAGAAAATATTTGAAGCAATTGAAAAGGAAAACAGTATTACCAAATTTATAGAAATATGGCTAAAACATTGCTTAGGGTTAACATTTTCATTTTTAAAAATTTTTTACTTTAAAGAGAATAGCAACAAATATTTTTATACTATAAGAAAATTCACAAATTGACACTTCTAACTACTAGAAACTAGAAAAAAATATTCAATTCAAACTAAATAGAAAAGGCACTAGATAAGTAAAGCAGACACCCAATAAAGTTTTTAGAAACAAAAGTTGGTTTGAGAGGATGGCAGAGAAAGAGCCCGCATTTCGCAGTGCTGTACAGAAACCTACCGCAAGGTGGCAGTCGCTACAGTCAGGTTCTCGTCCCTACCGGGTCAGCGGGCTCCGCATCGCGGGTACCTCGGGACGGGGAAGGGTGACAGCAGTACGGAGAGAGGGAGGGGGTGGTGGAGAGCGCTGTTCCAGCTTTGAGGGTGTGAGGGAAAGAAGGGGTGAAGTTATGGGAACACTACTATAGCGTCTGTGGAAGAAAAGACAGTGGCAAGGACTTGGAAAAGAGGCTGATTTCACTGGACGTCTCTGCCGCTCAGCAGCAAGGTGGCCTTCGACCTGTCTCTGAAGGAGGCCCCAGTATCTTCATCTGTGAAACTGAGTCACTCTACCTGGCATTTTGTAGAGAGGAACAAATACTCTCACAGAAGTGGCCATAAGAGAGCAGGCTGTAGAATTTGCAAAGCTACAATCAAAATGAAAACATTGGAGCTGTTTGCTTGAAAAAAAAAAAAGAAAGAAAGAAAGAAAAGAAAGAAAGGAAGAAAGGAAGGAAGAAAGAAATAGGATATTAAAGGCAGTTGAGGTATTTTTTATTCAAAAATATTTTACAATGTATAAAATCTAGCAGAAATGACATTTATTGCGGAATAATAACATAAGCTTTCATATTATAAAGTGATAGTTTTTGTGTCTTAATTTCAGTAGATGACCATATTTATTTTAAATGATTATATTTGATTACTAGGATTGCAGATTCATTCATTAGGTCTCCAACACTGGGCAGAATTTGTTTATAAAATTCTGCTCATTTAACTGGAGTGTGGGGAAAAGGATTTCACAAATTATGGCATCAGTAAGACAACTTTGAAATGAATGGTAATATAACTAGATTTAGTAATTTTCAATAAAAATTATTAAAAGACAAGTATTTAAAAATCTGCTTCACTTAAAACTAAATTGAATTTTTTTTTGTCTTTTTCGTTTTTTACCGGTACCAGGGATCGAACTCACAACTGCCTGCACTTATGCTGCTGAGCTAAATCCCCAGCCCCCCCAAATTGAATTTTAAATTGTCTCTTTGTGCAAGTGATATTAGACCTTTCTGGTGCTTCCTAGAAACACGTGGAGGTCCTCTAAATAGCCAAAATGCCTTCATGATTTGATATTAATTCAAAACTGCCACTGATGTATTCAATCGTTGTGTCTTCAAAAAGAAGCAAAATCTAATTTTAAAATGTCCGGGTCAGGGATTTAGCTCAGTGGCATAAGTACCTGCCGGGCAAGCATGAAGTCATGAGTTCTATCCCCCGTACCACTAAATAAATAAATAAATAAATAAATAAATAAATAAATAAAATTGTCCTTGATTTCTTTGGAGCCTCACAT